TGAGAGTCTTCTGCGAGTAGGTTGTTAGCTGGTTTGTGTTTAGCTTGATTCTCGGTTAGTGAAGTTGGGAGCAACCAATCTTGTGGTTTGCACTGACAAGTATAAGTATTTGGCTTTCATTCAATAAAAGACTCGTCAGATTGCAATTTACAGTGTTCTATAGTGACCATAAGTGGCTGTCGGGCGGTGGGAGTATAAAGGGGACTTCTTTGCTAGATTATGGGGGTAAGCTTTCGGTGGATACCTATCATCATCTTCCGTATCATCCATGGCTAAAGTCTGAAGAAAGAGTTCAATAGAATTGAAATAGCTGATTACCAATCGAATTGGGAAGAGTAATTTTGCTGAAGTGGGGGAATTTCGGTGGAGCTAAATGGAGTCATCGCTTTCAAAGACTCCAACCGCCGCTCCCACTCCCTCTTATTGGTGTACGACCTTGGGGAGGAGGATGGCGCCGGAATCTCTACTTGGGGTGAGATCCGTCGGAGAAGGTAGCCTAGTAGGCTTGGGTGGGGATGCTGCCGAAGAAATTAGATTTACTGGGGATAAGAAGAATTTTTTTTCATTTTTTAATAATTGTGAAAGTGAGTTGGAATTTAAAAATTATTAAAAAATTTATTTTATTATTATTTAACTGCCACATCACACATTTAACAGTCAGCTATGTGAGTTGACTGCCACGTCAGACAAAGTTAACGGAGTTGGACGAAAAGTGACCAAACTTGAAACATTTAACTAATCTTAGTGACCGTGAATGTAATTAAATATTTCTAGTAACTAATCTTGGCCCATTTTTAATTAAACTCGTCATGCCCTATTAGTTGACCACTTTCCACCCAATCTAACTCAGAATTCAAGGAAATATACGCAAAAACAAAAGCTGGAACTCACTAGTTGATTGTGTTCCAGGAAGCATCCTTTCTTTTATGTTTTGGACTGGCTAAGGGAGCAGATCTGGTGAGTAAATTTGTGGTAAGTAACCCCATGCATAACCCAATAAGAATCTGTAACATCAGCGCCTCCTTTTCTCTCCTGGAAAAATAATTAATTTTCTTTCTCTTAATCTTTAACGGACGATTTCTCAATCGTTTTAACTCGGAATTTAATTTTTTTTTGCACAGTTAGATCAGATTAATTTTTGCATAACCCAATAAGAATCTGCAACATCAGCGCCTCCTTCTCTCTCCTGGAAAAATAATTAATTTTCTTTCCCTTAATCTTTAACGGACGATTTCTCAATCGTTTTAACTCGGAATTTAATTTTTTTTGCACAGTTAGATCAGATTAATTGTGCTCTTCAAAATGATATCCACTTTGATATTTTTTGGAACAAAAAAAATTTGTCATTTATTACCAGTCTACACCATATGGTATTGACTATACCATATGGTATTGACTGGTATTAAATAACAGCATACCATATGGTATGAAAAATACCAGTCAATACCATATGTTGTTATTTAATATCAGTCAATACCATATGGTATTAAATAACAGCATACCATATGGTATGAAAAATACCACCTCATACTAGGGTGATATAGTATGGTATGGAGTTGGTAACGAGAGGTTTGAAATTTTTTCTCACAGAAAATTTTGAAATCCAATAGATCATGATTAAATCGTTCCTTTTATGCAAAAATTTTCGAAAATGACTAAACAATGAAGAAGATAACATATGGTATGGAGTTGGTAACGAGAGGGATGAAATTTTTTTTCTCAAAAAATATTGAAAATTGATATCATTTTGTAGAGCACAACGAACTCGTTCCATCTGTGGAAAAAAAATTGAAATCCGAGTTAGAATGAAGAAGATATGATTCAATTAAGAAAACTAGGGAAAATAAATTCCTTTAATTCTCCACCCTTAGCTATGTAGTCACTTAAAAGAAGGGTCCAGATTTGGTTACTCATTGTTACTCACCTTAAGGTTACTCACCCTATCTTGAGCCTAGCCAATGATCACAAAAACAGGAAACGACGACAATCAGTTATAAACGCGCTGCTACGGATCGGGAAATCACCGGAATCGACAAAGGAAGAATACGAAAGCGAGAATCGAAAAAACACAGACACACGATTTACGTGGTTCACTAACACGATGTGTGTTAGCTAGTCCACGGGCGAGAGAGAGCCAGTTTCACTATATCGAGGAGATTACAGATTATAGAGGAGTATGAGAAGTATTTATAGTACTTCTCCATGTGGGTCCACACCTAATCCAATCTGACAAAGGAAACGGTTACAGACCAGGCCTAGAACCCGAACCCAAATAACATTGAGCCCATACACCGTGGACATCCCCACCACCAATTCTATGGTAAACTCGGGAAGGAGAAGGGTATTCTGAAAAGTGAAAAGACTTAATAAAGAAGTCTACTATGCCATATATGATCAGAAAAGAATGTTAGAGTTAAAGTTTGAACAATTACAAACAACAATTTTTCTTAATCCCACTAAGGCTCTTGTAGGAGAGGAAGCTGATTTGGCTAAGGAGTATAGCGATTTTCAAAAGGCTAAAGAATTGTTTTATCAGTAGAAATAGAGAACACAGTGGGTGCAAGTAGGGGATATGAACACTACTCAAGTTAACAAAGTTGTCAACCAAGAGTGTGCATAGCACGAAGATATGGAAGTAAAGGTTCCCCGACTTTGATTATTCTCGAGGCACCACCGATGATTGATAGAGCTTACCATTGTTTTTGTCCTACAAGTGGTTTGAGTACGGGTGTTTGGGGGCAAGCAAAAGTTCAAGTGTGTGTTGGGGGGGGGGGGGGAGGGAATCGGGTTACATTACACACTTTTGTACCCCTTTACTTGTGATGTTTGATGTGATGAAAGCATTATCACTATAATATACATGGAAGAATATTTCCCCTCGTAGCATAGTAAAAGTTGATTTGATGAAAGCTTTCGACTCTGTTGATTGGCATTTCCTACTGACTGTTTTGGAAGCAATGGGATTTCCCAGTTTATTTCTTAGATGGATCTCTATGTGTGTTACAACCCCTAAAATTAGTGTGGGGTTTAATGGAGGGGTAGTGGGGTATTTTGCAGCACAAAAGGGTCTGCGGCAAGGAGATCCACTGTCTCTTTATTTGTTTGTTGTTGCAATGGAGGTGTTCAGTTGCCTTATGGAAGAAGCAGTTTCTGAAAATAGATTTTCATTTCATCCTCTGTGTAAAATGATTGGTCTAACACATATAATGTTTGTTGATGATCTGCTGTTGTTCGCTAATGGGTCCAATAATGGTTTACAGTGTATTCAGAGAGTATTGTCTGATTTCAGAATTTTGTCAGGGCTAAATTCAAATCCTTCCAAATGTGAATCATACTGTGGGGGTTTGCCTCAGGAGTGGAAAGAGAGTATGGCTGCTTATGCAGGATATAAGTTAGGTACCCTTCCAGTTAGGTATCTGGGGGTTCCTTTGATTTCAAGCAAGCTCACAGTTAAAGCCTATCGACCCTTGATAGATAAACGGTTGGGCAGAATACAAAACTGCAGGTCAAAACTTTTGAGTTATGCTGGGAAGCTTCAACTTGTGATGTCTGTTCTTTACAGCTTTGTACAATTCTGGATGGTGATTTTTGTTCTTACCAAAGAAAGTCATTAAGGAAATTGAGAAACTCTGTAGTAATTTTCTATGGGGAGTGGGCTCTGAAGGTAAACTTCGAGCTAATGTTGAATGGAGCAGGATCTGTTTTCCTAAAAAAGAAGGAGGCTTAGGAGAACACAAGTGTCTATCGATCTGTCCCTTTAGTGTGCACGATAGGTAAAACTAATTGAATTGAGCTAAATTCGTAATGCACATATACGTGAGCCTTGACTGAGGTGACAATGGTCTTGAGGGGATGCCAACTATAGCTTAGGAATCTCCAACTGCCCACCTGCTAAGTACACTACAACAAATTCGGCCTATTAGGACAAAAAACTTATTTTGTCATTTTTTGTTTGTCACAATAGGTACGCTGATATGACTTAAAATAATATATGTCCTATTTGGTATGATCTAATGTGACAAAAACATTGTTGTCAGAATAAGTCGTCATTTAAAGTGAGTAATGTGACAAATATTTCGTGTCACAATTAAGTTGTCACAATATGCATCCCATATCGGGATGTAAGATACACAAAAGTGACAAATTATATCGTCATAGTAGCTTTTGTCATATTATGTCTTCCTAAATTGTTTAAATGACAAAATATTTCGTCACAATAGATAACAATAATCCCATGACAAGCTGAACAAAAGGGCATGTTCGTCATAATATAGTGTTTTCAACTTTGACAAAAGGGCATGTTCGTCATAATATAGTGGTTTCGGCTTGACAAAAGGCATGTTCGTCATAATATAGCGGTTTTTGTTTTTGACAAAAGGCATTTTTCGTCAGATTTGCTTGTGTTCAGTCCCTCCCACAAACCCAAATTTTAGTCCCGCCAATGTTTACTGTCCACTTGTCAATCCCCCAATTTTTTAGACCCCAATTTTCAGTCTAACCGACACAATTTCAGTGATTTTGAATTTTTTAACAAAATTTATGGCTCCAAAAATTTCCTATTCGCCAAAACTTGCCCCCTAAAAATTTGAAAATTTTCCCTTCTAAAAAAAAACCCCCTTACCCTAAATTCCAAATGAGATGTCCGCCCCTCTGCCCTCTTTTATCTCTCCCCATTTACTCTTTCTTCCCCTTTTTCAACTTTCCTTCTTTTCCACCCTTCTTCGTTCTCTTCAAAATATGACCCTTCACATGCTCCCCTACTCTTAAAGAAAACGATGTATGCATCTCTTCCTTCCTCTTCAAAAAGATCACCGCTAGCTGCCTCCTCTAGCGATAATCAGCGACGGTGGCGGAGAGATTGAGACCGACAATGATTGTCGAGATCCAACGACGATGGCAGAGAGATCGAGAGACAAGGGGCGGAGAGATTGACAGGCGACGGGCGGGAGATCAACAAGCGACGATCAGATAGATCGACATGAAACGGATGGAGAGATCGACAGGCGACGATGGCGTCGAGCTCAAGAGGTGACGGGCAGATCGAGAGGTTGCGATGGAGGAGCATTCCAGCAAGAGCGATTGGACTACTTTGACTTTTTTTGCAGGTTAGGCTTCGGCGGAAAGAAGGGGTTTCAGCGGGGTAGGGGCTGAGGGTGAGGCGGTGGAGATAGGAGGAGATGGTCTCGAAGGCCAGACGAGTTAAGGTCGGTTGGAGATCGACGAGGTACAAGGTCCGGTGCGAGACTAGCAGCCACGGTGGGAGAAGGATTCTGATGTATGCATTTTTTTTTTCTTGTGTTTGTTATTTTTTTAAGGTTTCCAATTCTGGGTTTGAGGAGGAGAAGGAGCAATTCTGGATTTGGTTAGTTTGGATGGGTTGTAATTGCTGGGTTAGCGAAGCTTTTTTGGGTTTGTGAAACTTTTATGGGATTGTGAATGAAGAACAAATTGTGATAACAAAGCTTTGTTGGATTTGTGAGTTCCCTTTTTATCAATTTGGATTTGCGAGATGGGCATAATCGACGGAGAATAAAAATCATTGTCTTCACTTGTGACAAAATGTAGTCGTCACAATATACAATTATGACAAAATATAATCGTGTAATATGACGAACAATTCTCTCAAAATCACCAGATTATGACAACTATAATGACAAAATATGTCGTCATAAGATCTCTGTTTGTCACAATAGACTACCCAGAACCTCAGTTATACTGAAAGCAAATGTGACAACCTTGTTTTCATTTTTTTGTCACATCTGACCTATCTTGACGGCAATAAAATGACAAAACTTTGTGACAACACCTTTTTTCATATTATACCTAATATGACAAAAACAGTATCTAATATGACAAATTTGTCTCATCATAATAGGCCGAATTTGTTGTAGTCTAGGATACCACGACCCTTGGAATACAAAGAGTCACTTTACTGCATCCCTAGATTGGTTATTCTTGGCCTAGTTAGGAGTGGCTAGTGAGTGTGCATGGACTTATAAATTTAAAGCTCGATCACAAGGTAATGATCACACTAGAGTTTCATTCGTTCTATCTATCTTGACACGAGACAAGGGAGAGCAATATCCGAGTGATTCTTTCTCAATTGAGTTCACCAAAGTTTATTTGGTTGCTTGTTGAATTTGTTAAGTTTCCTTTGCTTTAACCACAAACCAATCCCTAGATAACGTGTGAAAAATTGAAGTAAGGGTAGATATACCACCCGGCCGGTTGATATTGAAATACTTATCCTATCATACACTGGTCTATAGGTTTCACTTGGTCTATAGTTTGGATTGTGTGTGTAGTGGTAGCCGAATCAATGGTTCAAGAGTCGTTGGCCAGATCTAGTGTGGCGGTCAAAGCCAGAGAGTCACGGCCATATATAAACCTATTAACCTCCAACCCAGCAACATATATAAATCGATTGACTAGATAACAACGAAGTGAGAAGTAATTAACCTAGGGTATCAAAATCCATGAAATATGACCTTGGTAGCCACTATACTAGTAATGTCATTATGAGTTATACTTGGATCAAAATGGGATCGTTGCCTGATGTCCACCATTCAACATGCACAAAAGTGTATCAAGGTTCAATATTCAAAGCACAAAAACTTGGTGGGCATTGCAAATTCAAAACATCAAAACATTCAAAGTCTTGTCCACCAAGGATCAATCATCCAATAAAACAGTTAAGCATCATGCAATTGATCATGAAACAATCATTCCCTCACAAAATTGTATCATTCAAGCAGACATTCCCTATTTACTTAAGCATAATCATTTTTTTCCCCTCCGATTTAGTTAAGCATATATATATATATATATATATATATATATATATATATATATATATATATATATATATATATATATATATATATAGCTAGGATGGTTACCTTTTTGGGAGGCTTTGAATGGAAACTTGAAAATGAAAGCATCAAACAGAGGAGGAGAAGAAGAAGAGGGGATGGAGGCATCAATTCATCATCGATCGTCCACCAGTACTTAGTTGTTCCGAAAGATGTATATATATGTGTGTTTATTGTTTAACAATGAACAAGGTGCGGTGAAAGTGAAGCTAGCGTTAATTAGAAAGCGGCGAGGAACGCGGAACGGATAGATGGAGTTAATTAATTATGAAAGCTAGCGGTGAGCAGCGGATAGTGGTGAAGCCTCTTAACGTAACTCAAACTCAGAAATCAGAATGTATGTAGCGGACGCAGCAGAACATTACGAAACAGAGAGCTGGAAATAAAAGCTGGCCGACAAAATCAGTCCAGTGTTTCCATTTTTCCTTAAAAACAAACAGACAGAGAGACAGACAGACAGAGAAATTAATTAAGTTAAACACGCACGAAGGATACTACATGACAACAATGAAAGAAGGGGGTAAGGCTAAGGGCTGTGGGGCGACATGACATGAAGAGAGAAAATTAAACGTACAACAAACACAGGGAAATGGAAACTAATTAAGCAACAACCTTACAACATTATTACCGGCCGGCCACAAGCTTAACACTAATTCAGATAACGGCCCCAGCTAGCCTCGCCTCCTCTCGTACAGCTGATCACCTGCCCGCCGAGACCATGCTGCTGCTGGACGCGTCCCGGTTGACAGAAGTCCTCCACTTAGTCCTCTCGCCCAAGGGGTCCTCATCCTCTACATCCTCTCCGCTACCGCTGTCATAGCTGTCCCCCAACTTGGCACTCTCGGTCTCGGATAGCAGCTGGGCATCCACCAGAGTGTTGTTGGTGACAAGGTAAGAGATGATAGTCCTGTTCTTGTTCACGAGGGGAAACCGGGGCTGGCCCTCGGGCTGGAAGGAGAGATTTATTTTGGTTCCCGGTGGAAGATCCAACTCCCTAAAGAGGAATTCCTTCACCCCAAACACCAGGACTTCCTCTGAACACGGAAAAACCAGTTGATGGTCTTGAAACCCTCTACCATTCACCTTCACAACAAGATTTACTCCGAATCTATTGTCCTCGGTCAACGTCAGCCGGATTGGTGGTATTGCAGCTGTTTCAGCTCGGATGTTCAATTCCTCCAGCGTCTGCTCATCGTCCACCATGGTTATCGTCTCCGTGGCTACGGGCTCCCACATGATCGTCAACATCTGTCGGTGAGCTTCCACCTTGAAGGTTTCTTCGATCCACCCTTTCACCTCTTTGACCTTCTGATCGAAACGAAACCTGCCAGAGAAATTCATCGTTCGGGCTCGGGGATTGCCACGACTCACCGCGGTGAAGTTGAGTATGGCGCTCATTTTTTTCTTTTCTTTTCACAGAGCAGCTTCTTTGTGTATTTGTTTCCTTCTTTTGGGCTGGGCGCACAATAACTAACAGCCATACAAGCTTGCATTTTATAGGCAGACTTTCAACACACCACCAAGCTTATAATATTACTATATTAAAAATGCTAGTAATTAGGTGAACCGCGCCGCTTTAAACTTTTCCTTCTTCTTTTACATATTTTTTTTTATTCCACACTATATATTATGCAACCAGCAGCACTCCAGTCCTCAATATATCTGTCTCTCACATACATGACATCTCATTTTATTTTAGTTGAGTTGACTGATACAGCAATAAATATATTACTCTCTCCAAATACTGTTTCACAATTTAATAAATCTGCAACTCATATCTGCTTCACAATCTACACCTCTCTCAATCTCCCAAGTAAGCAAGCCCACGGCACGCAACGCAAGTATGAAATGTGCGCAAGGAGTTACATGCAAAAACATAATTAGAATTAATAAACCAAACTTTGACAAAACCGGCACCATTGAACAACTAGGGATTACGTTCTTTCCACAAGAACCATTGTAACACGCACCATTGCTCTAGCACCTCTCCTTCATGATTCTCTATAAACTTCTTCATCCATTCGCAACATGAGGAACCCTCTCGGGCTTTAAAACAATTCTGAACCTTGAACGTGCACCAAATTCTCAACACCCATTCACACACCCCAAAAGGGTGGGTTGGGTTTCTTTTGTCGTATAGAACTGACACTTGTCTTTAGCTCGTGTGCTGCGCTTATTGACACGGTCACTAGTGGGTAGCACTTTCCTTGCAAAAGGGCTTCCCCTGTGGGGGAATTCTCATCGACCATAGCTTATTCCAAGAATCTGACTACCAACTTGTTCGATAATTCTATCCAACTCCTTGTTACCTCTCAACAAAATTTGGTAGATTGGCGTAGCCATGGTCGATTCAAAGTATGCCTCCACAAGTGTCGTGTCCCATTGTTCCATCTCCACACGTGCTTATATTCATGGGAGTTGGTAGGTATTCATTGATGAGCGAGCATGTTACAATTATTTGTGCTGCTGATTTTGGATTTCAATGATTTAGAAGCAGCATTTCTCTGAATCAATCGGTAATGATCAAGTTGAAATTTGGAATGTGATTGTGATCATGAGTTGGGTATGCTCTAGTAATGCATGTCTGGCATTAGGTATAGGATTTTGATATCCTCTCAGCGGTGGCAATGTTGTTGATCAACGTGGAGAAATAAGCAAACTAAACTGCTTATTCATAACAATACGCCCGTACATATATGTAGTGTAGTGTGCCGACTAGACTAGTTAGAGACTGGTTTGGTTTTGGTTACCATGTGGAATGATTGATGGGACGCTCCCACCCACCCTCTACACCATGCACAGAGAATCAATCAAATAAGGCGTGGCGTCACCCCTCTTTCATTGCTCCACCACAGAACAGAGGTCAGGTCAGGGGAGTCATTAATGAATGAAGTTTAATAAATAGTCCAAAACATTCATGGAAGAGCCCATCAAACGTGCAGGGTGGGGAAAGTGAAATTTGTTCTCTTCCCCTCCCGGGAATGGAAGGAAAGAGCTGTTTCTGAAACCTGCTGCATGCTGTCAAACGTACGTACGTAAACCCATTAAACAAAAAGCTAGACTGAGTGCAGGCTTTTTGCTTTGAGATGAGATGGTGGACACCACAGGACAGCACGCGGCTGGAAAGTAAGGACAAGGGAAGGGATTTGGAGCAGGAATCAATCCTACGTACTAGTACTGCTGCTGTTGACTTGAGGAGGGGACGGGTGAAGCTATTTGCTTCCGTAGTATTGATTTTGCTTCTGTATTTATTTTACAAGCTAAGTGGTGTGGTGAAGTGATTACCTGTCCAACATAAATTGCCCGACTGCATTATATTGAATGAAGAGAAGTTGGCAGAAGAGAAGAGAGAGCTCAGATGGTTTCTGAACCGTGAAACAAACACATAACTTAAAACATGTCTTTCATCAAGTGCCTGCCAGCTCAGGGGCGGAGCTATGTAGCTCTCGGGGGGCAACTTACGTGTAAAGTCCTATGAACTTTTGAGAATTATGTGTAAAATCAACGTTAAATATATTTAAAATCCGAGTGACACATTGTTGACATAATCTTTTTATAATCTAGTGGATTTATAGTTGAATTGCAGCCAAAAGGTACAAGATTCGAGCCTGGTAGGCCGCGTTATTATTATTTTTACTTATTTTTTATTTTATTTTCAGTTTAATTCTTCAATTTTTTTATGAAGGTGATATTTATTAAAGGAAACCAAGATCACAAAAAGTACAGTACAACTAAAATAAACTCACAAAACAACGACAACAAAGCTACAAGGAGAAAATGGATAAAAAAGGCTTGATCCCAAGCGGGAGAACAAGAAAAAGAAAGAAAGATGCTGCTAGGAGGACCAGACCCCTCTACAGCCAAAATAAAAAAGGGCACAAGGCTTAAAGAACTAAAGGCCAACCCTCAACAGAAGACCCTGACCACTCAAACAAAACAGAAACACAGACCCCCCAAACAGACATCCATGGACGCTGCACCCCCATCTCACCCAAACCGAATCAACAAGGAAAAGGCACCTGAACAAAACCGCAGAAGCATCTCACAAATGCTAGCCGAGAAAGAGAGAGCAGAACTCAAGCCAAGAACGCTTAGATCCTACTCAAAAGCTCCTCAAGACATCGCTTCCCTTGTGCTTTATCCACTTTGCCACTTGCAATAGGCCACTCCATAGCGTCCCTAAGAGCTTTCCGGGCAACAAACTTGGCTTGTAGACGAGCTTCCCTAAAAATTCTGTTGTTTCCGTTCAAGCCAAATCTGCCAACACACTGCATGCAACACACCATATCGAAACCAGCTCAATTCATTATCAGAACATTCGATAGGCCACCTAGAAATGACTTGAACAATGTCCCTTATCGTAGCCTCTACAATTCCACAAGCTCTCTTCGTTCTATCCCACACCTCCTTACTGAAGTCGCACCGCACAAATAAGTGATCAATCGTCTCCTCTTCCATATTGCACAACTTACATCTATTTGCAAGAGACATATCCCTTTTCTTTAGATTATCAATCGTGAGTATACTCTTGTGAGCTACAAGCCACATAAAGGAGCAGATTTTGGTTGGAACGATCGGCCTCCAAACTGAATCAACAAGGAAGTTTGGGATACCCTTGAAAGACTCCCCCGCTAAGTACTTTTACATAGAACGAACAGAAAAAGAACTCTCCAGGTTTGGTAACCAGACAGGCCTAGGAGGCCCACAGGACACACATCCATAACCACTAGTATTAAGCAAATTCAACAAATTAGATCTCTCCCTCTCAGCCCCCTCTAAGATTAGTAAATAAAGGATTTTGCCAAGAAACAATATCACCTGAGAGGGACAAGGCATCAGAGACCCTGGCATCCGGAACGCTCGTAGCGGCAGCAACTCTTGGAAAAGAATCAGCGAGCACCACCCCAGGGATCCAGCTGTCATACCACAAAGAAACCCAAGCTCCATTTCCTGGATCAATGCTAGCCATATTCCAAAAAGCATCATACTCCTTAGAGATGTTAGCCCAAACCGATCCAACGAAACCTTGTCTACTCCTCCCTGTGCACCAATCTGAATTCTTATTTGGCTACTTAGAGCTAATCAATTTTCTCCACCAACTCCCTCTTTCCGTAGAAAAACGCCAGAGCCACTTCCCCAGCATAGCTTTATTAAAGCAGGCCATTTCGCAAATCCCAAGCCCCCTTGAGAATCTTCTCTTAATGCTCTCCAGTCTTTTCACATATCCCATTTAACCAACGACATCTTTCGAGTTTCTCCTGTTCCACTCCAAAAGAATCTTCTCTTAATGCTCTCCAGTCTTTTCGTAACTATAATAGGGGCTCTGAAAAGAGAAAAGTAATACACGGGCTGGCTGGAAAGGACGACTTTTAATAGTGTCATTCTGCCTCCAATAGACAAGTGTCTCCCTTTCCATCCCTCAAGTCTCTTCTGCTAATTGTCAACAATTGGATCCCACAGAGATACTGCATTAGGTTTGGCCCCAAGGGGAAAACCTAAATAATTGGATACATTATTACTCCAGTTGCATCCAAAGATAGATGCGAAAAAATCAGGATTTGGGACATCGCCCACTGTGAACATGACCGATTTATCAAGATTTATTCTGAGACCCGTGACTTCTTGGAAGCACACAAGGGTGGCAAGAATATTGATCACCTGGTCATAGGCCGCATCACAAAAGATCAACGTATCATCAGCGAAGAGCAAATGAGTGACCTCCCCACTTCCCTCAGCCTCATTCATACAGAAACAAAGAATCTTTCCATTCTCACGAATAGTACAGATCATGTGGGATAACACATCCATGACCAGAGTAAAAAGACCCGGCAACAAAGGATCACTTTGGCACAAACCTTTCTAAGCATAAAAAAACCTTTGGATTCTCCATTAATGAGCACTGATAACTTGGGATTGCACATAGTTCCCTTGATACATTTCACTCACTTCTCAGAGAAACCAATATTAGAAAGGATTATGAACAAACAGTTCCAGTTAACATTATCAAATGCTTTTTCTATATCCAGCTTAAACATCAAACCCGACTTTCTGATTTTCTTCCGACTGTGAACAAGCTCAAAGGCAATGAGACCAGCATCACTAATCTTCCTACCCTTAACTGAAGCATGCTAATTCTGAGAAACCAGCTTTGGGAGAACAAAAGCTAGCCTTTTAGAGAGTGATATGATCCCAATTGGATCAATCTTGAAGGAGAAATTGCTTGAGGAAGAAGGAAGTGAAGCTTTGAAGAAGAAGAAGAAGAAGAAGAAGAAGAAGAAGAAGAAGAAGAAGAAGAAGAAGAAGAAAGGGAAATGGCAAAGTGTTGGGTCGAGTTCGAGGTGCCTACTTTGGGAGTTCATATCTCTCAAACCAAATGAAAATGTGTGTTCAAGGGCTCAATTTGAAGTTCAGAACTTTATCTTTCGATTGGCATGTCTTGGAGCTCGAGGAGATGCCATGAAGAGTGTTTTTCAAGTCCAACAAGATGCTATGACGAATCCTGAAAACTGCCTGAATTTGGCTAAGGCAGGAAACTGTTTGAGGATGCTAACTTTGAAGAGTCATAACTGGAGTTTGGGAGATGATCTCGAGCTGATTCGAGTTGGAGGAGAAAGAGGAAGTTTCCTTATACAACGAAAAGGTATTGGATGAAATCGAATCAAACTGGAAGGCCATCTGCTAGACATGAGAAGATGGTATGGACACTGCCAAGTAATCCGAATGCTATTCGGATTCCTAGTTCTATAAGGATTACACTTGTGTTTTAGTTTCCTTGTCGATTTAGTCTTCCTTTTCCAGTTTGTTTACGTTTGTTAGAGTTAGTTTATGCCTATAAAAGGCTTGGATTGTGCTTTGTAAGATTCAGATTGCAATTGAATAGAAAACCCCAAAAATTGACAACTTGCAAGTTGATTGTTGAGCTTAGGTTTTGGTTGCGATCAAACCTTGCTGAATCGTGGCCTATTGATCAAGCAATCTCACTAGATAACTCGAAGGTAACCTTATAGAGATTGTGCATCCTTCTAGGTGTGAGGATTCCCTCTCGTTTCCATCCAATTTCGTCATAGAACAAGCTTCTCAAGCTTGTTTGGTTTACCCTATTTGTGCGACGTGAGCAAAGGAGATCAATTCCTTTGTGTGAGCTGCGTAATTCCGATAAAACACCCACCCAGGGTGTTATCAAGTGGTATCAGAGCCCCGTTCTGCACAGGGCAAGGACGACGAATTCAAAGGAGGTTAACGGCGCCGGAGTCGCGCACTAGACAAGGTCAAAAGGTTCTATCCCAGAACAACCCCCTTGTTCTGTTGTCCGAAAGGAAGAAGAAGATGGTTTCTAAAAAAGCGGCATTTGAAATTTCCATCTGTGTATCTTCTTGTGAAGTTAGCATTGCTGCTACCAGTCGCCACTGCAAGTGCTGAAAGAGTATTTTTTGGCAATGAATTACGTGAAGAACACTATTCGGAGTCGAATGAGTGATGGTATCATGGAATGATTTTTTGGTAGGATGTATTGAGAGTGACATGAATGTATATTACATACTTTTCAAAATATGAGAACTCATCGCGGATCACTATAAAAAATTGTCATTTTATTTTTTTTAGTTGACACCCCCTTATCCAAAATTCTGACTGCGCCACTGGCTCTTGGTGTACTTAGATGAGATGTTTCATACTTTCGAGTCGACTGGGGTGAATGCTAGATGTACCTACCTACTCACTCTTCAACCGGTTGTTTGCTCTTTTGTGTTTGCTTCCCTGTTTAATGGAAATCATCTTCTCATGTTCATTGTCTAGCTTTTGTTTCAAATATTTTTTCTTGTGTTAGTAGGATATTGCATGTCTATGTTACGTTTATACCAATTGCATGTCTACCACTACCTCAATATTCTTAATTATTCTATAAATAAATCAAATATATCAATAATGTTCAAAGTTATCAATTTCTTTCATCTAACAAGGATATTATACCGGGTATTTTCTACGGGGCCATCAAATTGACAGAAATTTGTGTAACCTTTGTCTAAAACCATACCTTATTTGTCAAATTTTGAAACTATAAATCATCATACTTTGTCTATTCTAATGATATATATTATAATTAAAAATAACTCTTTCATTTAGTGAAACTTTATCCATCTATTCATATATATATATATGGTGGCGTTTTCGGTGCACTCACTTTTTTGGGTGCATTCAGTGCACTCGCTTCATAGTCGTCATTTGAAACATGCGATTTATGTCAAAATGATGTCAATGATCACTTATGATATGATGAAAAATAACACACATGAATTTGCACAAAAATCATTGAAGATTTACTTCTTTTTTTTTTATAATGGAGATTGATGCATTAAAAAAACCACAAACAAGAAAGTTTACAACCGACGGATCAAGAAGATCCGCCAAGGAACAAGAAAAGAAAATCTGCGAAGGGGCCAGGACGCCCCAACCGCAGTAAGCAGAAGGAAACAAAAAAGCAAAGGAAACAAATAAACAAAGGAACCAACTATAGACCGGGAGGAATCACGATGCTGTCAAGGGAGGAGAAGAAGAGGTCGCGTCCATACGAGAGTCACTTCGGATCTGCAGAGGGCACAAAATATGCGCCAGAGACAACCACTCGGCGCTCTGCGAGTCACTTAGAGTGCCCGTCACCCTCACCCAGCTTAGTAAAGTCCTGCAAGTCTTATGAAAAACCACCTGCCACCCACACCTTTTATCATGGAAGCTTCTGTTGTTCCTTTCCTTCCAAAGCTCCCAGGCAAAAGCGTGCAGGATACACGCCGCCAAGGAACTCATCCAGGGGAGCTGACTGCGAGGAGACCAGCAGTGTATAATAGAAGCAAAGCAGTCGGGGAAAGGCCCCAAGAACCCAAACAACTGCTGGAGGAGGCACCAAATGCTGCTGCTGTATCGGCATTGACAGAGGAGATGGTTGGTGCTTTCTTCAGCCTCTTTGCAAAGGACACATCTGCTTGCAAGGGACCAGCCCCTTCTCTTCAAATTTTCATGAGTCAGAATGCGTATGTGCATGATCAACCAAAGAAACGCATTCACCTTAGACGGAACGTGCGGTTGCCACACCACCTTGAACGGAAACTTGTCGAGGCCCACCAATCTATCATGAATCAGGGCACGATACATGGAGTTCACCGAAAAACCATCCTTTGGACTGGGGTTCCAAATCAGCTTGGCCGGACCTGCATTAATCAAATCATGGGGTAAAAGAGATAACAAATTCAAGAGATCATTCCTCTCACGATCAGCCCCACCCCTTAGAGAGTACATTAAAGGAAAATCCCACACCACACGCTCATTATCAAAGGATATGAGATCAGACACCCAAGCATCCCGGTTAGAGGATGCAGCCGCAACCCTAGGATAGGAATCTTTCAGCATCTTCCCCGGGATCCAGCAGTCATTCCAAAAAGACACCCAAGCCCCGCCACCCGGGCTAACAGAAGCAAACTTCCAAAACATATTTTCTTCCTTCATAATGCATCTCCAAATAGAGCAACCAATCGGACCTACGCCATTCCCAGCCCTCCACTCGGAAGAAGTTCGAGGATACTTGACATCGATAAGATTACGCCACCAAGAAGATGGTTCCGAGGCATATTTCCAAAACCATTTACACAGCAAGGCAGAGTTCATACAACCGAGATCAAGGATACCCAAACCGCCTCTTTCCTTGGTCGATTTGCACACATCCCATCGCACAAGATGATATTTGCTTTTATCTTGGACACCTGCCCAAATGAACCTGCATTCCAATCTCTCCATCTTCTGAATCGTGGTTTTCGGGGCTTTTAATAGGGAGAATAAATATAAAGGCTGACTTGTAAGGCTGCTTTTACAAAGGACAATCCGGCCACCTAGCGACAGAAATTTTCCCCTCCAACCCTCAAGTCTCGACTGAAATCTGGACAGCACCTTGTTCCAAATCGCTGAGGAATTTGGGCTAGCTCCGAGGGGGGCACCAAGGTAAATAGTAGGCAGAAAATTCCAACCGCACCCAAAAATTCTCGCAAAAACATCCGGATTACCAAAATTGCCAACAGGGAACATCACACTCTTCTCCACGTTAATTCGTAATCCGGTCACAGATTGAAAGCACACAAGAGTTGATAGGAGGTTCAGAACCTGGTCTTCATTCGCATCACAAAATATGATGGTGTCGTCGGCATACATAAGGTGAGTCACCTCTCCCTCTTCAGATGCTTCATTCATAAAGAACCCAGAGATCAAACCCTCCGATCTCAAAGTTTCCAACATGACAGAGAGGATATCCATCACAAGCAGAAAGAGAAAGGGAGACATGGGATCCCCTTGGCGAAGGCCCTTCCTGATATTGAAAAAACCAGCAGCTTCTCCGTTAACAAGAACAGAGAGGATCGGAGAAGTAACTAACCCTTTGATCCAAGAGATCAGCCGATCCGGAAGGCGCAAACGATTCAAGATCTTGAATAGACAGTTCCAGTTGACGTTGTCAAAAGCTTTTTCAATATCTAATTTGAACACCAGACCCGGTTTTCCACTTTTCTTCCTGCTGTCGATTAACTCATTTGCAATCAAAGAAGCTTCATGAATCTGCCTACCTTTTATACCGCCAAACTGATTCCCAGAGATAGCCTTCATCAAAGTCGGTCTAAGGCGTTCTGTAATAGTCTTCGAGATCAGCTTGTTTACACTCCCCAAGAGACTAATCGGACGAAAGTCCTTGATGTCTTCAACGGCGTCTTTCTTGGGGATGAGACAAACAAAAGAATGGGCTAAAGATTTGGGAATTTTCCCACTGTGATAGAAGTCCTCGAAACCTTTCAGCAGATCAACCTTAATCAGGTTCCAATGTTTTTTAAAAAAGGCCAGGGAGAACCCGTCCGGTCCGGGGGCTTTGTCGCCCCTGCATCTCTTGACCACATTCCAAACCTCCTCTTCAGAGAAATGATTTGTGAGCAGCTCCCCATCCTCCAATGAGACCTCAAACCGGTGATAGTTGGCAGGAAAAGGACGAACAGGTTGTTCCTCCTGATAAACATTCACGAAGTGACCAACAACAGCGCCTTTCAGCTCGTCTTTACCTTCTGCAACCACACCAGCGATCTTAATGTTATTAATAAGATTCCTTCTTCTATTAAAGTTTGCCACCTTGTGAAAATAGTCCGTATTTTTGTCACCTCCCTTAAGCCACGTCTCTCTGGATTTTTGACGCCAGGAAACTTCTTCCAAGTACAACACTTGATCCAGAGTGCTTGTTAGGTTGCTTCTCATAACTCTGTCCTCTTCACTAATAGAGCCTTCCTCTTCCTTTCTATCAATAATTTTGATACCTTCAAGAGTCTCGGCAATCTTCCTCTCCACCCTCCCGAATTCCTCTTTGTTCCAGATTTTGATGGAATTCTTCAAATGTTTAAGTTTCTGCCCGAACAGAAAAAGATCACCAAATCCAGAGGGTTGGATGCTCCACCACCCAGCCATATGATCATTAAAAGTGTTGACCAAGAGCCACATATTCTCAAACTTCCAAGGTCGATGCAGTCTAGAATTCCCCCCCCCCCCCAAACAAGCTGAAGCGGGTTATGATCAGAAACAACCCTTTCCAGAGCGGACAACCTGCAATTCGGAAACAAAGCCTCGAAACGAGAACAAATAAGGCACCTGTCAATTCTGGACATAGAAGGCGAATCTCTACCACTGCTCCAAGTGAAGGAAGCTCCATTCAAAGGCAGGTCAATAAGGGTTGTTTCGAAGATGAAAGAATTGAATTCCTGCATTAATTCATGACTTCTCGTGCCACGCCGATAATCATCATGAGATCGAACAAGGTTAAAGTCCCCCATGACGCACAGGGGAGACGAGATATTCTGGCAATAGGCCTTCATACTTGAGATGAATCTCTCTTTATCCCTGATTCCTTGCGGTCCATAGACAATCATGATGCAAAAGCTAATCTTGTTCTGGATTTCCTCTAGATGGACCATAAGCCAGTAGTCTCCAACCTGCTCATCCAATTTCTTGTATAGAACATGATCCCAATAAATGACAATGCCGCCTCTACTATCACAAGCGTTTTTAGCCGCCCAATTTGTGTCTCTGCAGCCACTAATCGAATTAACCAGCCCCTGGTCACACGTGTTCCACTTCGTTTCAGTAAGACCAACGATAGACGGCCTCCTTCTTCTTAGAATTCCTTTGATCCGAGCCCTCTTCCGATCGCATCCCAAACCACGAACGTTCCAAGCAATTAGAGAATAAACCATTAGGAGGAAGAGGGAGAATCCAACACCTTTTGTCTTCTGCGCCTGGTTCCTTCAACTGGGATGGTAATCGGCCCCAGTCTATGAAACTCCATCTCACTCTTCGAACGTGGGGCGCGCTTCTTCCGACCATGAGTGGAGGAAGCAGTCTTCTGAATCTGAGTTGACACACCCTCAACTCTATCTTCCTCAATTTGCAGCTGAAAAAAGTTGCACAAACGCTGACTGCAACTGATCAGGCTGTCAAGATTCAACGTCGGAGAGAGGAAATCAGACTCATCCTCAACAGGAAAGAAATTCGGCCTGGGATATGGGGAATCTGGTTCAATATAAGAAGGGAATTCTGGCGGGAAGGGGGAAGAGTGGAATTCCAAAGGAGGGGGCAAGAGGGTCGATGATGGAGGGATAGGAAGGAAAGGGGTTGACGAGGAGGTTAATTCAAGGATCAAGCAAGGGGGTTGAAAGTTGATAGAGAGTGAAATTTGGTTTGGGGAGATTGAAATTGTTGAGAGGGTTGGAGGAGGTAGGATATGGGAGGATAAGGATAGGAGTTCTGCAAATTTGCTTAGGTCAAGGTCCGAAAAGGCTGCAGGAGAAGGAAATCGGATTAGGGAGGAAGTGGTTGGCGGTTTGGGTGGATTGGAAAGGTTTGAAATGGGACCCAGATCAAGGGAAAAGTCGTGGGGGGTTGAGTTTGGACTGGGGTGTAGGTTTGGGCTGGGATGAGGCAAAGGAGCAATTTTACGGTGGGTTAAAGGGTTAGGAATTGGGCCAGCTTATTGAAGATTTACTTTAATTTGAAGGATTTAGGGTTTGGAGATTTAGAGTTAGGGTTAGGGTTTACACTTTGGGGTTTAGAGATATAACTCAAAATTGGAGGTCTAGGGCTTAGGGTAATTCGTTAATTAGTTGTTATGATATGTTATATCATCATATTACACTAATTCTACAAATTAAAATTCAAAATCCGACACCTTGAGACAAGTTTTTAGTTGGGTGCATTGAACGCACTCATTTTTGTGAGTGCACCGAAGTATTCACCATATATATATATATATATATATATGGGCAGTTCTATGGTGCCCAGGGCAAAATCCGGGGTACGGGTAACCAGGGGCAAGGAAAATTACCAAAAGCATCACGAAGCGTTTAAGCGTTTTTCATTGGACTTCAACCTAACTGTACCCGGTTTAATTATATCGATTAAGAGGTTAAACCTTATGGATACGACCCGCCGCCCTAACCAATTTCTAGTCCCTCATTCGTCTTGGAGGGGATGTCCCCTCTTAGTTCGAACATAATCATTTTATCATCGTTTCTGAAATATGAAATCCTTTTTATCATTTGATCGACATTCGATTTAGCTCCCAATCCAATATCAAATCCCCAACATCATCATGTTTTGAACCTCAAATCTATTTATCCACGTTCGAAGAGAAGATCCCTTTTCAATCTAAAATCCCCACATAATCATCATTTTGAACCACAAATCCTTGTATCCACAATCGATGTTTTGTTCTTCGCCATTTTATTTCCGACCGGAATCAAAAATCTCCACATAATCATTGTTTCCTTGTATCCACAATCGACTTTTTGTTCTTCGCCATTATATTTCCGACCGGAATTTACACAAATTGAAGATGAAATAAGCAACACAGTCTTCGACCTAATTGAGGAAGAAGATGAAGAAAACAGGATTTGATTCGAATCGGATGGAGAGGTCGCCTTAACTTGTGTTTATGTATTAACGGTGCGTTTAGGACAAAGTCTAGTTGGGCTTTTAAATTCCCTTCAAAAGTGGGCTTGTGTACATGATCCGGATTGTGAAGAGGTTGGGCTTTTATTTACATCTGCGTCTGCTTCTGCTTCTGCTTCTAAATCCTGATCATGTCTTGCGTTCACGCAATTTAAACACAATTATGTGTTCCATCTTTTTTTGGGATTCGGTAAATGGTAGCGTGTCTCTTTACACATTTATCGGTACGAGGTAAAAAACAATCCGCCCAATTTAACTCTTTATTAATTGCCCATATTCCACTCTCTCACTGTTTGCCCCTCTTGACATAACAAACCTCTTGTAGACTAATTAGAGGCTTGTGGTTGGATACTTAGTGAGGACATTTTTTAAATTTATAATTTGAAACGAAAGTTAGAATTTCACTTTTGAAGTACTTGTGTACTTTACTTGGGCAAGTATTTTCAAAATGTGCAATTTTATCAGCGTATAGGTATGCGATTATTGTATAAGGTGTTTATGGTTAAGTTAATGATTACTGACTGGTTAGTGTATTAGGTTGTTGATGGTTTAGAGTATATGGTATATGGTATATGGGATGGTTTAGAGTATATGGTATATGGTATATGGTTTAGAGTATATGGTATATGTAGAGGTGGCAATCAGATCGGATTCGTGGATTCGTGGATTGGATTGGTGGATCCATGGATCAAATGGATTGGATCAAATGGATTGGTGGATTGATCCATGAATCCAAATGGCATCCAAGGCTTGGATCAAAATGTAAAATTTGAAAAGTATTGGTACTAAAATGTCATAATGAAAAAATTTAGGTACCAAAATGTAATTTTCCAATAATATTTTTCGTATAAAAATATAAATTTTAGATACCAAAATGTAAAATATAAAATATATAGGTACCAAATCGTAATTTTCCATTTGGATCCATGGATTGATACATGAATCCACCAATCCAATTGGATTTGGATCAAATGGATTGGATTTAAATGGATTGGATTAAGTGGATAATTTGGTGGATGGATTGGGTTGGATTCATGGATTTGGATCCTAATTGCCACCTCTAGGTATATGGGATGGTTTATAAGGTGTTGAATTGTTGATGGTCCAGAGCATATTGTATTGATTGATTCGGCTGAGGATAGGTGTTGTTTTATTTTTCTCGATTTTATATTGTCTTAACATCTTCTTATAAATGCTGATCATGCCTTATTATCAGGAAATTTAGACATAATTATTGTAGCGTGTCTCTTTACACATTTATCGGTACGAGATAAAATGATTTGGTGTGTGCAAAGTAGGTTCTCATTAACGATTTTGCCATGTTGGTTATCCCGCCCATTAGCGATTCGCCACATATGGAATCAAAATTAGTTAGAGTTCTTAACTTCATCTTTCTTCATTTATTCTTTGACTTGAACCAACATGTCTTTGCTCCGAAGGATTTTGGGTGGTAGTGGCGTGCTAAAGACAATCCGTCCAATTTAACTCTTCGTTAATTCCCCCTTTTCTTTTCTTTTTTGGTTGAATAATTACCCCTTTTCCACTCTCTCAGTCCCTGCCGAAGTTGAAACAATCCCCTGTGATATATTTATCGTTCATTTTAACCCTTCACTTAATAAGAAAGCGAGATTATGCAAGATGGTCATCAATGTGATGTAGCTTAATTAGTTAATTGTCTGTTATTTGCTTAGTCAATAAAGTAGAGGTTTGTGGTTCGATACTTAGTGAGTATCAATTTTTAATTTATGTTTTGAAAAGCAAGTTATAATTTTAATTTATCAGCGTATAGGTATACGATATTGTATAAGGTGTTGATGGTTTAGAGTACATGGTATTGGGTTAGTGTATTGATCTTCTCCATCCCTAAAATACGATATTGTATAAGGTGTTGATGGTTTAGAGTATATGGTATTGGGGTAGTGTATTGATCATCTTCATCCCTAAAATTGAACAACAATTTCTAAACGAGGTCCCTACCGCCACATCATCAATTTTAGCAATTCATCACTTAACAATTTCTATTCATCAACATCCCTAAATTATGCTAGCAATTGCCAAGGTGGGTTCCATTTTATATTTCAAAGGAAACACTTATTATAAATTGAAAGTTGGGGATGGAGATAGAAGAAGGTGTTGTTGGTATACAGTATAAGGTCTTGAAGGTTATGGTATAAGGGAGGAGCAAGGTGTTGATGGTTTAAAGTATATATGTTATTGATTGGTTACGGTATAAGCCTATAATGTGTTGTTATTGTTGTAGAGTATATGGTATTGATTGGTTCGTGTATTAGGGTTTGGTTTAAGGTTTAGGGTTTAGGGTTTAGGGTTATGATTCAAGTTAGAATAACATAAACCAGATCAATAGAGTAATGTTGGTAAACGAAAAAGTTAGTTAATCTACAAATTCAGACTATTTATAAAAGTACATCCCCATTTCCCACCGTCAATTCCTAAACTTTTCCCTTAATCCGATGATGAAATACCTTCGATCCTCGTCGCGTGCGTGTCACCCAATCAGATATTGCCGAATTCGGAAAGTCGCTTTTGCCCATAACCAATGCTGGCGTTACCAAGGCCGAGGCAGTGGTAGGGAGTGTAATTTTCAGTAAATGTGAAGGGAGGGAAAGTAAAAGTAATTACGAGTCAATCTATAAATTCGTTAATCAGTGAAGGAGAGACCGTGCTCCGAAACCCGAGTGGCACTCATCTCCTGCTGCTGTTCGTTCCTCCTCCTCTCAATCCCTGAAAAGAACCCTTTCTTCCATCTTCTCAATATGAAACTCCGAAAATCAACACCATCCGCCTCTTCGTCCTCCTATCCCATGCTTTATTTTCGGGTGCAGTGGTAATGATGAGACTGCGTATTATTTTAGATCTCATTTCCTTTCATTATGTCATTGTTAGATCATGACTGTTAAACTAAATCCTTCGTTGTATTGTTTCTCCTTTTCTCTCCATGCAGGGTCTTTGTTAGAGGCAGGGAGGGGAGCAATGACAATAAGTCGCCGTTTGAATATCGCCGAAAGAATCATCACATGTTGTTGCGATTCCATAATAGGTGTTGTGGAACCCTACGTCATGTGGTGGTTCTTTTGCGCCATATTGACGCGTACTTGTTGATCATGCTCCCAAAATGTATACAAGATAGGAAAGTTGCCATATGTATAATAGGATAAAATAGGGAGGGAAAGTACAGCTTTTTGTTTTTGTTGGACTCTATGTAACATTTGTTTATATTTGTATACTGTTTTGTTATTTTTTCTTCTGCTTCTCTCTTCGCTTCCATGGAGGCTTCCAAAAGTGTTTGAGATCTTCTAAATCTGCGAGGGATCCTCCACACCCAATAAAAATACTGTACTTTGTACTATTAGCGTTTGAGATCTTCTAAATCTGCAGGGGATCCTACACTCCCAATAAAAATACTGTACTTTGTACTATTAGCGTTTGAGATCTTCTAAATCTGCAGGGGATCCTACACTCCCAATAAAAATACTGTACTTTATTTGTTGACTACTGAGTCCATTTTTAGAAGTCTTTACGATTGGGCCAACCGGATTTTTTGCCGGATTTCGAACTCTGCTCCTCTGTCGCCACATGCTCTACCCATTTAATGAGTGCTCAAAATTAGTGCAAAAAATACGATATAATAATTGGGGTTAATTGTATGGTTGGTCACTGAGATTACAAAAAACGTTCATGTTTGGTCACTGGAAATATTTAAATCCAATCTTGGTCACTCAAATTAGTTAAATGGTTCGAATTTGGTCACTCTCCGTCCAACTCCGTTAAATTTGTCTGATGTGGCAGTCAACCCTCAAAGTTGACCGTTAACTCGGTGACGTGGCAATTAAAAAATAATAGATAAAATAAATTTTAACTTTTTACCATTTCCAACTCATTTTCACAATAAAGTAAAAAAAAAATTATTATAATCACTGTAGAAATCATCGGACGCTTCTTTGACCGAGGGATCGAGGGTAAACACGCCGCAGCAGGCGTCGACGATGCAATTTTTTTATTTTTGGGTTCTGGGCCGTCTTCTTCTTCTTGGGGATTGTAGAGGCTTGCTGTTGTAAAGCCTTGTCCAGGTTGTGGAGGATGTGGGTTTGGCGGGCGGAGAGCTCGTCGGGCCAGTGAAGGGCGGCGATGGCCAGGGCGGAATCCAAGATCTCCAACACTTTGGATTTTGGCTGCGACGGGAGATCCTCGGGCCCCATCCACGGCGGTAGACTGAGAGGAGCCGCCATCTTGATCAAAGACACTAGAGACAGAGAGAGAAGGAAAGAAGGGAAATCGCGTTGAGTGCTGAGCTTGCATAAATTGGGATCGAGGGAGGGAGGGAGGGAGAGAGTAGCTAGCTAGTGAGGAATTTTGGAAGGCCCACTGCGCTTCAGTGGTTGGAGATCTTGGAGAACCCATCCCCCCATCCCCGTACTGAAATCCACGACGTTCAGGTCGGACAATTCGGGTCTGGACGCCTCGAACTCGCCGCCGCAGCGGGTCTTCACCGCCGGCGAAATGGAGCTTTCCGAGGACTATACCTGCGTCATCTCCCACGGCCCCATCCCGAAAACCACTCACATATTCGAATTCGACGATTGCATCGTCGACGCCTGCTGCGGCGTATTTACCCTCGATCCCTCGGTCAAAGAAGCGTCCGACGATTTCTACAGTGATTATAATAATTTTTTTTTACTTTATTGTGAAAATGAGTTGGAAATGGTAGAAGATTAAAATTTATTTTATTTATTACTTTTTAATTGCCACGTCACCGAGTTAACGGTCAACTTTGAGAGTTGACTGTCACATCAGACAAATTTAACGGAGTTGGACGGAGAGTGACCAAATTTGGACCATTTAACTAATTTGAGTGACCAAGGTTGGATTTAAATATTTCCAGTGACCAAACATGAACGTTTTTTGTAATCTTAGTGACCAACCATACAATTAACCCTAATAATTGAATAAAAAAACTAGTTCTCAAGATTATTCAACTGAAATGTTGCACATGATTTATTTAGAGTGCTTAAAAATTACCTTCAACTGACCATTAATGAGTGCATAAATTAAACGACACCGCAAGAGCCAACAGTCTTCTTATATACCAAACGACTCGGCATAGGAGGACTTCCAGTTTCAGTTCAAGTTTCCAACACCGAGCAAATATATGGTCCCAATTGCCACTTCAGCAACTTTAACTATACATCAATTGTGACCGTGGGTCCTACTTAATTTTCAATGCAATTCAATATTAATTGGTGAGTGTGTTATATTAATTTGAGTTTTCTCTCAAGTTGTTTTTTGTCGTTGTGTTATTCGAATTATGTAAAGTATTATGATTGGAATTGTATATATGTGTGTGCTGCATGAAAATTTGCAACTGCATGAAAACATTCATCAGATGCAAATTTGCAACTTTTGTAATTGATCCCACATCAATGCAACTCACCATCCCACTTTCACTCCCTTGCCACATCAGCTTGCAATTCTCAAGAATTGCACCATTGGAGATGGTCTAAATAAGCAAGGTGTTGATGGTTTAGAGTATATATGGTATTGATTGGTTAGGGTATAAGCCTATAAGGTGTTATTGTTGTAGAGTATATGTTATTGATTGGTTCGTGTATTAGGGTTTGGCATTGCAAGAAGAATTCCTAATTTAGCAATCTTGCTAGTTTAGAAAAAATATCCTAGGTGGCATTGCAATCTTGCTAAATAATGGTGCCACCTAGGATTCCACTAAATAAGCAATGGGATGGATTGGTTCGGGTATAAGCCTATAAGGTGTTATTGTTGTAGAGTATATGGTATTGATTTGTTCGGGTTTAGGGTTTAGGGTTTAGGGATTCGGGTTTAGGGTTTAGGGTTACAATTACATATACCAAATCAGTAGATTAATTTTGGTAAACGAAAAAGTTAGTTAATCTACAAAGCCAGTCTAAAAACACATCCCCATCTCCCGCCGTCAATTCCTAAATCTTCCTTTAATCCGATGGTGAAAGAGCTTCAATCCTAACCGCGGCGTGTCACCCAATCAGATATCGCCGTTTTCGGAAAGTTGCATTTGCCCCTAACCAGTGCTGACGTTACCAAGGCCGAGGCAGCGGTAGGGAGTGTGATTTTCAGTAAATGGGAAGGGCTGGAAAGGCAAAGTAAATTTATGAGCTCATTTATAAATTCTTTAATCAGAGAGGGAGAGACCATGCTCCGAAACCCAAGAGGCACTCATCTCCTGCTGTTGTTCGTTCCTCCTCTCAATCCCTGAAAAGACCCCTTTCTCCCATCTTCTCAACCCCGAAAATCAACCCCATCCGCCTCTTCGTCCTCCTGTCCATGCTTTATTTTCGGGTGCAGTGGTAAAGATGAGACTGCATATTATTTTAGATCTCAGTTCCTTTAATTATGTCATTGTTAGATCATGACTGTTAAACTAAATCCTTCGTTGTATTGTTTCTCCTTTGCTCTCCATGCAGGGTCTTTGTTAGAGGCAGGGAGGGGAGCAATGACAATAAGTCGCCGTTTGAATATCGCCAAAAGAATCATCATATGTTGTTACGATTCCATAATAGGTGTGGTGGAACCCTACGTCATATGATGGTTCTTCTGGGCGACATTGACGTTTACTTGTTGATCATGCTCCCAAAATATATACAAGAGGGGAAAGTTGCCATATGTATAGTATAAAAGTGGGAGGAGGGAAAGTACATTGTTTTGTTTTTCAAGATGTGTACTTTTAATGTTTGAGATCTTAATAATATATCGGTGATGGATCTTTCACTCAATAAAAATACTGTAGTTTATTTCTTGATTACTGCCTCCATTTTCAGAAGTCCTCTGTCGGCGCATGCTCTTGTCATTTCACGCCCAAATTACATTTCATAATTTTAGTAGCCAAAATTAAGTGATTTTATAAACAAGTAAAAAATCCGATTTAATAATTCAATAAAAAAACGAGTGAGAAAAATAATTCAACTGAAATGTTGCACATGATTTATTTAGGGAGCAACCTCCATATCGAATTCAATCAAACCCATCCGAACTAAATAAAACGACACCGTAGAAGGCAGTAGTCTTCTTATAAACCAAAGAGACACATAAATAAAACGACACACAAGTAAAACGACACCGCAGACGGCAACAGTCTTCTTATAAATCAAACGACGCCGCTTCAAGCTAATACTGGCAGTCTTCACATAGTCCATTAGTCCTAATCCGAATAGCATAAGGACGTCCATCTTCACTTCAAGTTTTCAACAATCCTTAGTTTGCTACTTCTTGTAACAGGCCTCTTCTGCAAAATCGATAACGACGATTTTAGACGTACAAAAATATTGGATGCAACTGCATTGTGTAGACACGAACAATTATATCTTATTCTTACCCTAGGTTGCTCATAATCGTCGTCATCGTCATTTTCATCATCGGATGGCCCAGACCCAGTACACGTTCTTGCATTATGATTGGTAGAACCGCACTTACTGTAATGCTTTTGCCTTCTCTTCGGTACTGTTTCCGACTGATCTTTAGTGGTGGGAGGATCAACATCGGTGTCATCGCCACCGCCACCTTCTTCCGAAACACCATCATTCGGGGCATCACCGTTTGAGGTTGGCTTCACATAGCCAACATGATGTGGGCATCGGCTCCTATAGTGGCGCCATTCACCGCAATCGCCTTCGGTCTATTAATGTCGGGTATGTCCACGTTGCCAGTGTCCACCATGTCCAACTTTTCACATAATGATTGAATTCGCTCACGAGCAATCTTGAAGCACTCACTAGATTTTGCGCCTTTTAACATTAGTTGTAAGCTGTGTTGTTGAATAGTACCATACCTGATTGACACAAGATTTTATACAAAGTGAGTAAAATTAATGTTCACCTAGCTTCGAACCAATATTAAAAAAAAAATTAAAAGTGATAGTCATGGCAAACCTCAATGCGAAAAGTTGAGATTCATCTAGTCTGCCCGGTTCCTCCAAGCTCTCTAGTGTCTTCGGCTTCTTTGACCATCTTCGACGTACTAGGCCTTCAGGAAGTTCCAGTATGCTCTCTTCTTTCAGTACAAAAATCATATGACGACATGGTATTCCCATATAATTGTAGTGATTACAACTACATTCCATTGCAAAGGGTTCAACTGCGTACGTGACTTGAAAAACCTTATCCATGCCAGACACCTTGACCTTGTACACATGCTCAATTTCCGATCGCTCTGTCTCCAACCTTATGCAACATGCCGACTTTTCAACCTCGTCTCTGAATAAGAAGAATGCGTTCTTTGTGAAAACCGCCGCTCCACTCTTCTGAAGTGAGACTAAGACATTGCTTGTGATGGTTCGTTCTCGATGAATGGATTCAAAATCAGCATGACGCTCATTCTCCCTCATATCCCTAGTCCAACGATCAAAGTGAATAAAGAACTCAAGGAGATTTTTATCCTTCTCGATATAATTGGCAAGTTGAGAGTTCAGTCCTTCACATCTTGATGTTGTACTCAAGCCTGCGAAGAACTTCGAACGCAAATATGCATACCCCCATTCATGTCTTTGCTCAAATAAATTGGAGACACAATTGTTGTGCTGAAGGGAGCATTCCTCAACCACTGATTTCCACTTTTCTTTGAATTCTGAAGGTTCCCAGTCAGCTGACACAAAATGCTTCCATCGGGGCAAAAAAGTAGGATGATTCTTCACATTTCTGGTTATAGTCTTGTCTATATGCCAGGAACATAGACGATGTGTTGCATCGGGAAATACTTTCTGAATAGCATTACGCATCGCTCTATCCCCATCTGTAATAACAGTCTTGGGATCTACACCGCCTAGCCTTCTCTTCAAAGCTCCCAACACCCAAATATAATTTCTTCTCTCTCGTTAGCCAAGAAAGCACATGCAAATACGCAAGTTTGCGAATGGTGGTTGACACCTAAAAAAGTTCAAACAAAGTTAGATTATGCAAACTTCTAGGGTTATTTTAGCATGCTCGGGATAATTCTATGTGTGAAGGAAAAGTACCTGAAAAAATCACGAGAGGCATCTGGTAAATGTTCCTTTTGTAAGTAGCATCGAATGACAGTAATTCTCCAAAGCATGCATAATCAGCAACAGAAATACTATCGGCCCAGAAAATGTTAATAAGCCGGTCGTCGTCATCCTTCTTTAGTTCAATAACGAAATGCTCGTCCGCTCTGCATTTAGCTTGCAGGTAGGCTAGGGCTGTTGCGGCATCACCTTCACTGATTTGTTCTTTCCTCTCTTTGTCCACATAATTATATGCATCCTTCCTCGTGTACCCCAAATTGTCGTAGCCTCCTGCTTCTGATACGGCCAGATTCACAATTTGAGAAGTTTTCATACCTGCAGCTCTTCTAAAATTTATCGCTGCTTTGACTGCATCACTCATACGACGTTTCCCTTTCATGTAGTGTCTATATTCTCTGGGATCTTTTCATGTGTGTGTACATCATCAAACTGGTGCACATACCACTTCCCATCGACATTGTCTTGTTTAACACGCATCTTGGCTCTGCAGTTAAATCTGGTCTTCCCTCTTGCTTCTCTCTTTCGTTCTGTGCTCTTCATGCGCCTCTTTCCCTCGCCAGAGCATACATAGTCACGCCATATCATAACTTTGTTCTTATCATGACCAATGTCTGATTTTCTGATGTCGAAGCCTTTGACTAACCCGTAGTCCATGTAGAAATCATAGGCTTCTTCTGTATCATCGAACTTC